GGAACCGGTCTGTATGTGGGATCCGAACCCTCGGTGGGAGCGCTGCTGTGCTCCCAAGCGGGGCACTGTAGCAGTGCGCCACCAGGCCGGCCCCATCATTTGTCTTTTAAAGGCGCTCAGACACAGGCAGCAGTGAATATCAGGGCTTTAACACAAGGAGAGTGAGACTAAAGGTCTCCATCAGGCCTGTCCATTGGTTTCATTCCCTCATATTCGTCTTTAAAAATAGTCTGAAGACTATTCCAATCCACATGTGAACATATGCGAGGACATATGGGCTGACAGTGAAAAGGCTCACTCTCCGGCCCGTGTCTTTGGCTGAATAGGAGCTGCTGCTTCACAACTGATGTGCCTTCAGCACAACTCGGGGTATCTCCCTGACCCTGAGATCTACAGGGCTGCTGGCCCTGCCGCTGTGCAGAGCTGCAATGCAGCTGGTTTTAGCCAGACTCACGCCTGCAGTGGCTACGGAGCTGCACACTATCGCTTGCCTCCCTGCCCCTTTGGGGGGGTCTTTTGACCTGCCACCACTAGCTCTTGTTTTGCATGTCAAAGCCGGCCACCCTCTGACCCATTCCACTTCTAAGGCCATGGCGCTGCCTCTTCCCTCCTGCCTTTGGAAGGTTCTCCCAGCATTCAGCTCTTCTGAGAGAAGACAGCCTTAAAAGCACCAGCCAGCCACTGCCGGAGCTCCTTTCTTCAGCTAAGCAAGTTCTGCAGTCACAGAACATTCATGGGGCTGTTCTAGGGCACAGCTGAGTGTGTAACTTTGTTTCCAGGAGCTCCAGGCAGGCTCCCTCCCTGACCCTTGGCTTTGAACCCAAGGCCACAGGGCTCTGTGAGGGTGGCCTCCAGATAGCAGAACTTAACTGTTTTGCAATTGCTGAAAACAACAAATTGTAAAGGCTGCCCTTTCCTTCTCCTTCAGCCTCAAGCTGGGAGCGCAGGAGGCAAGTGAGGCCAGGGGACTGACAGTCATGAGCAGGCAGGCTGAGTCCCTTTTCCTCTTAAGATTCATTTACAGCTTTTTATATTTCAGAGAAATCTTGCCAAGAGAGCTGTTCAGGTTGTCAGTGTTGACAAGGCATTGAAGCCAGAAGCATGACAGAAAAAACAAGAACAATTTAACTCAATTATCCCCTCTTTAGAAGGTGTGGAAACTTAGCTCCATAAAATCCCATGGGGCAAAGACAGTACATACACAAATCACCACCAAGTTCTTGGGAATTAAAAAAAACAAAACAACAAGAAAAAAAAACTAGGTGCTGGCACTATCTTGCTAAGTTATAAAATTCTTCCTTTCTCCCTTTTGTCCTTGTTCCTATCAAACAACTAACACAAGATGGAAATATTAAATTAGTTTTTAGTGGAAATTCTCTCTAAGAAAAAGGTATGGCTATTTTGTAACCATGTTGTATCAGTGATATAACTGCTTTGTCTCATACATATAATGAAACAGCACAGTGAATACCAGAGGATGAAATATGGTATTTTCCAGAAAGAGAAAGTGAAGCCAATAACGATTTGTTTTTCTACACTAAGATCAATTTCAGTGAGTGTCTACACACTTAGAAAGGAAAAAAAACTTGAATGTGTCAGTATGACCTATTTCTCAAAGCAGACCTTTTCTCAAAGGACTTTGGATTTAAAAGAAAACTAATCGATGCAAAAGTCATTAAATCCTAATTGGTTTGGTGAAAGACAATTCTGGCTAATTCTAGGGAAATAATTATTGTTTTCTTTTTTCACAAGCTTTTAATTTATCACATAAAAGGAATACCACTAAAGACATAAAGAAAACATCAGCCCCATCACATAACCCTGTAAAAAGTGCTGTAATTTTTCTTGTTCCCTTCAAGTTCAGTTATACATTTGGGATCACAGTATAGACACAAATTGGTAATCTACTTTTTCTTCACCGAACATTTTCATAACTAGTTCCATGTTGCTACATAGTTTCAATAATTAAAATTTTAGTGACTGCATAATATTCTGTCAACTTGAGCTACCATAATGAGTTAATTCTTAGACATTTAAGTTAGTTTAATATTAGATCATTTACTTGTAGATATACCTAGAAGACAGGAATAATTTTTGTTTTTTAAAGGGCTTTTCTACAACTCATTTTTCTTTGGTGTGAAATTATTTACCAATTCAATGGGAACTGTTAATTGACTAAGGGAAAAATTGTTGATGGGGATTTATTAAATCTAAGAATTTTTCCCCTGGCGTAACTTACGAAGTTAGAGGTGCATTTCAATTTCCCACCATTAGGTGGTGCTCTACTGCATCAGGCTAATCCTGCTACCAAAACTGATCGTATAACTTCGTATAATGTATGTAGTTTAATATTAGATCATTTACTTGTAGATATACCTAGAAGACAGGAATAATTTTTGTTTTTTAAAGGGCTTTTCTACAACTCATTTTTCTTTGGTGTGAAATTATTTACCAATTCAATGGGAACTGTTAATTGACTAAGGGAAAAATTGTTGATGGGGATTTATTAAATCTAAGAATTTTCCCCTGGCGTAACTTACGAAGTTAGAGGTGCATTTCAATTTCCCACCATTAGGTGGTGCTCTACTGCATCAGGCTAATCCTGCTACCAAAGCTGACAAAACACAACTTTTCTTACAGGTGATCAGCCTTCTTACTTTCTTCCTCTTTCATTGCTTTGTCAACACTTCACTAAAACCAGGCTATTCTCTTCTTTCCCTTAGGAAGTCAGTTTTCTCTCCTGATACATTCCTTTTTATAAAGAATCACTTACTGTAGGGAATGACATTGACTTTTCCTCTAATGGACTGAAGGTGAGTTTTATTTTTAAGGTCAACACCTCCTAAAGCACTTATATCTTAAGGCCCTACCAGCCCTGTGGTTGGATGGCAGGTGGTTCTTAGTTACCTGTCCAGTCCTCTGCAGGTTTGCAAAGTGCACGTCGGGTATGAAGAGGACCGGCTGTGAGTGCAGATCTGGCATGGTTTTGAAGTAGGTGATGTCGCTCTTCTTCTGCAAAGGTATGGCAGCCAACTTCCCATCAGAGGCTGCAGGATCACAAAACCCATAAATGAGAGGGTGATGCATGACTCAGGACTCTCAGCTATAAGCCCCAGATTTAGCTACAGTTCATGATTTTCTCCGATGACGCTTTAAGAATATCATAGATGTGCACATCATTTAAAAGCCCCCACCCCACTCCTGCCAAACCAACAGAAAGAGCATGGACTTCAAGTGAGCACTCCTGAGGTGGAGCTCAGGTCCCCTCACATCCTCCAGTTCCTCTGTGTGCCCTAGATTGCTAGTCTATATGAAGGAGGATGTTGGTCTCCATGATATCACAAAGTCCTTCCTAGTTCAAACACACTGTGCTCATATGATTCTATTTGCTTTTCACAGGGACAATCAGCCTGTCTCCACTGCCAGTGGAAAGCAAGCCATGCCTGGCATATACGTAGTTTTACCTGCAACCCACTTCTTTCCACCTGTTCTGCCAGTGGACCTGGCCCACCTGAGAGAGCAAAGTCAGTCTCATCGAAACTCACAGTTATTGCACTGGGTTTGGGAGGCCTGGCCTTTCCCCTTCTTCCTGTTCTGCTTCCTCTCTTCATCTCGGATTTTTCTTTCTGCTCCCTGACAGGGAAAAACAAATATACAAATATAGACAATGCCAGACATATTATCAGAGTGTACAGAAATACGATCACACACACACACACACACACACACACACTCACAGGGATATGAACAACACAGGGTGGGAGGAGACCAGGCAGCAACATTTCCATCCTACAGAAATACGATCACACACACACACACACACACACACACTCACACTCACAGGGATATGAACAACACAGGGTGGGAGGAGACCAGGCAGCAACATTTCCATCCCTCCGGAGAGGTCTAGCTTTGGCTCTGAAAGCCAAGACCACTCATGAGTCCTTTCTACACTTCTAACCTGCGAGGGGTCCCACCTCTCCCACGTTTTCTCCTTTTTTGGTATCTCGCCTATTTAAAGAACCTCAGTTTTGAATCTGTATGGGAAGACCAGATCCAGTTCCTTAACCTAGTGAAGCTTGTTAAATAACTTTAGTGATTATAATAAAATGTCAGAGGATGAAGCATTGACCTATTAAATTCATTCCTAGGCATGCAGAGGGCTTTAAAGTTGAGTGTGGATTCCTTATACAATTTTTCCTTTGCTTGTTGCTACGGAACATTAAAAAATCATTACAGTGGTAGAAATGAGGGGGAGCATAAGGAAACCACACAAGATGTAGGATCATTTTGTATATACAAGTATTTTGTTATTGTTTCAATATTTTTGTATGTTGTTAGAGACAGGGCTCCTTCAACCAAGTAAGAGAAAAAATTGGTCTATTCACCTCCCTTTTGCTCTTCTATTCCTTGTAATTTGACTTTTTCATTGGCTCCTTTTACCAAATTGCCAAATCCCATCCTACTTAACCAGTTGACCACCACCTTATATATCTTCCCTTTGTGACCTGCCATGATTTGCTGATGATATTTTCTCTGGTCATTTCTCTATGTCAGCTTGCTAACTCATTGTCCTCTTTTTATCTCCCAAATACAGACATTCCAACAGTTTCCTTTTCCTTTCTCTCTCTCCATTCTTGCTGTAGGAGAATTCATCTGCATCTGTGTTTTCACAAAGCTCTAGACAGGTAACATTCAGATCAACACCCCCAGCCTAAACTCCTTCCCTGAGTTTCAGATGCATGTTATATTTCCTGCCCATCGTGGTAGCATTAAGAGCAGTGAAGCACAGACCGGCCAGCAACCTCTAACATTTTAGAAATTGTCCCCAAATCATTACACAAAAGAGAGAGATTTGACAATAAGAACATTTAATTCTCTGTATGGAAAAAATCAATTCAAAGGCAAAGTACAAATTAATGAAAATACTTGCAATAAAATATTGCAAAGTGTTAAATCCTTAATATATCAATAATGATTCAAATTTTAAAAACTAACATACTGATAGAAAAGTGGAAAAGGGTCAAGAAAAAGGAAATGCACAGAAAAAGACACACATGTGGTTTAATTAAAACAAGTTTTTGTATCGAGAAAACATATAATATTTTCAGCAAATAAAGTGTTAAATGCATAGACATTACCTTGTTCAAGTGAATATAAAATATAAGCAAAGGTTCTCCAATGTACTCAAGTTTGTAATAGAAACTATTATTTTCTGTTGGGTGCATATAAGGCATTTTCCTATGTGTTTAGAGCTTTGTACAATATAGTATTTAATATAAACAGAAATAAGGACATTTTTTTACCTACCTATATAAATTACAACTCGCCCAAGACACATCCCAAGGTTGGTCAAGCAATTTTATTTCTGAGTTAGTATTTTATGTTGTACTATTTCTATGAGGAAAAGGTCTGGAATTAATCTGTTGCAAGATTTATATATGTTCAATGTAGATTTTTAGGAAAATCACTTGCTTATTATTTTTCAGGCATTCTTTGATATGCCAAATCCGAAGGATTAACATAAAACACAGAGTAGGTCCCTATAAAGCATAGTCTGTGTGCTACTTCTATATAAGAAATTTCCTGCCCAGAATGCCCAGATATCAGCATGACAAAGCAAATTTGCTAGTACCCACTCTCAGAACCACCACAGTTCTCATTTTCAAAATAAAGCTTTTGACTGCACAATGACCCAGGGAAGCTTTGATACATTCAGTTAAGGTGGAAAAAGCTCCCCTCAAACCAGATCTTCCAGAATTCTTTTTCTTTCTATGATTATTTGTGAACTGAAGCTTCTAGAAAATATTCTTTTCACTCTTACTATACTGGAAAAAGTCTAGTTCTTCCAGAAAAGTAAAATTTGCTACAAATACCAAACTTATCATTTGAAAATAATTTCCCCCACCTGAATCTTTTTTTTTTTTCCTTTTTGTCTTTTTTCGTGTCCGGCAACGGGATCGCAACCCTCAGTGTTGCGCCCGCACCTCGCTCAGCCAGTAAGCGGGAACCGGTCTGTATGTGGGATCCGAACCCTCGGCGGGAGCGCCACCACACTCCCAAGCAGCGCACTGTAGCAGTGCGCCACTGGGCCGCCCCCCCCCACCTGAATCTTCACTCTGGAGTGTTAAATTTGAAAAATACATCTGAAGAATTTGACTATATTGTGATCGCTTTTGCTGCCACGTGATGTCTATCTTTATTTCTTTTTTAATATTTAAATTATTTCTCTTATTTATTTTAGAATGTGGCTTTATTTCTCAAATTTTGCCCAATATATAGTTACTGTTTGCAGTAAAACAAAATGTACATGGAAGTAATTATGCACAGATATGAAGATATACACACAGGTACCAATATAGGTAGATATATTGACAGATCCTGAATTTTTAATCATAAACGTATATATTTCAATAGAAGTATCATAATCCAAAAAAAGCTAGAGAAGGCCATTATTTTTATCTGCAACCTCACAGATGTATTAATTAGAAACCAAGCTGGAAAACTATAAATAGTGCAGAATTCCATATGCACTCTAGACTCTTGATTGGGATTGGAAATTTTACCATTTTTGCTTTAGAGGATAATTCAAATTAAGCATTTGCAATTACACACCCATTCAGAAAATGTAAAAATTAAACTTTTATTTCTCTTTTTAATTCCCAAGAGTGAATTTTGCCTGGGTTTCAAAAATAGAGATAGAAATATGACAAATTACGGCAAAGGATTTTGTATTTAACTTACTAGAGAAATTGACAGTAATTACAGTTAATCCACCCTACATAGCCCATAAGAATTCCTCCTTATGAGTTTCCTGACCACTCCCTCCCCACCTAACCCTTAACATCAGGATGTGTAACTAACTACTCTCTAGAAACTCTTTATGTCACTAGCTGGTTGGCATAAATGCCACTTACCCAACATTTTCCCAACTATTTTCTTCTATTTAGCACTGATATTTAAAATAGGAGCTATTGGTAATGCAACCTATTTTTTCATTGGAAAAGTGTTTGTTAATATGATTCTTTTCAGTCTTTATACATATTTACAAACATGCTCATGTAAATAAGTGACTCTCCCAACCATTTCTTTCCTTGTAGATTACCCTTGGGCATGACTTCAGGAAATAAATGCTTTGGATAAACCCATAAAATTCTTTTTTTCGCCCTTTTCCTTTTAGAGGCAAAATAACTGTGAATGAAAATTTATAAAAAATATTTTCAAACAAAAGGTATAATCAATCATTTAATTTACCCTCTTGGCTTCTTATAGTCCCTTTCATTCTAGGACATAGGTGAATGATATAATACCTTCTGTGCATTCTGCATGTGTTTATTGGGCTTTTTTTATTTTTCCTTTGGTATTTATTACATCAAAATTATAGAATAATTATATGAGCATTCTTTAAGTCCTCTCTCCCACTTTCAATTCCAACTACCAAAGTGGAGATAAATGGATGGCCCAGTCCCCCTCTACCCAATTCTTCCCTCCCTTTCCCTTGCCTCTAACTTTACTCCTTACTTCCAAGAAGGGGATTCATGGAGGGGACTCTATAGTCCCCCTTGGAATATCTAGAATGAAGTAAGAAAATTCAAAATAAAATTTTGGGGGAGGTGGGGTGGGGTAACCAAAGCTTTAACCTTGGTATTGCAAGGAAATTCAAATTACTTGAATGCTTTCCTATTTGCACTTTTTAAATTCTATGTTGTGCATCATTTGAAAATGCTTTTTTAATGTTTAATTTGCTGAATTTAATATGTAAGCTAATTTTTTGGTCTTGTTTTATATTTAAAGGCTACCTTTGTTGAGGTTTTGAATTGCCAGTTGTCATTTTGGTATTTTTGTATAAAGTTATTTATCAACTCAAAGAGTATAAGTTTAGAATCGGAACTATATTTGCATCCAGTTCCTCTACATTTTCACTGTGTGACTCTGGGCAAGTTACTTCTGCTGTCGGACCCACTGTTTTCTTACCCTTTCTACATACCAGTTTAACTGGCCTCCATACCATGGAAACTGCCAGATGTCCATCAGATTGCTGTGCTGCTCTGATGGCTGGATGATGGCCACTAATTGAAATCATCATAGGCTGAAATTCTATTGAGATTTCAGAGATGTTTACCATTATACTATATGTCCCTAAACCCCTGTGTAGGTCTAGTTAACGTGTTTTTCTTCTCTCTTCACATGACCATCTCTACCTTCTACTGTTCCTGCTCTCTGCTCATGGGAGCCCATTTCTCCCTATGCACTATCATTGCTAATCCAGAACTTTCAGACATTTTAATAGCATAGTAGACCTTTAATGCAACTGACTACAGAACCTTTAAGAGTGATGGGCAATACTGAATTAGATACTAACCTATTTTCCCCCTTCCTCGCTCCCCCCAGCATCTAATATGTAGTAGTATCCTTTTACTTACAATTAATAAACAGTTACTCAGCTTATTCTATGTATTATATACTCTCATCCTCCCCAATTTTTAAATAATTGTACTATGTCTACATTGTCAGAACATACTGTGATACTGTCTCTTCCATCACTTATAATTACATCTATAAGTAAATATATACTTAATGCTCACCATCAGTTCTCTCATCAACGTCTTTACAGTCATATTGGTTGTCTGAAGCTTGTTCTCTACTACGGTCCCCAAGAAGGAATATGTCCCTGATTTTTGGTGGTTTTGTTTGTTTATTTTGTTTTGTCTTTACTCTTGAAAGTCAATTTGGTAGGACGTAAAATCATTGGCTCTCTTGAAATATCTTTTGATCTCTTTAAATATCATTGTCTTTGACAAGGTGGTGCTGTTGAAAAGATTGATCACAAAAGTTTCCTAATAAGTGATTTATTATTTATTTTTTGTATTTTACTTAGATGCCCCAATTTATTTAAATATCTTTTGATCTCTTTAAATATCATTGTCTTTGACAAGGTGGTGCTGTTGAAAAGATTGATCACAAACGTTTCCTAATAAGTGATTTATTATTTATTTTTTGTATTTTACTTAGATGCCCCAATTTATTTTTAAAGTCCAATAGCTTGACTGTTTGATATTGGGGTCAATTTTCCCAAGTATGTGGTAGCCCATTTAAATCTGAGCACCTTCTGTTGCAAATTTTCCTGATTTATCATTTTTAACATTTGTTCTGTTCCATCATTTGGGGGTTTTTGTTTGTTCGTTTGTTTGTTTTGCTCAAAGATTCCCAGTGTATGTACACTGGATCTTCTTTAGCTCTCTTCTATATCTGTTATTTTCTCTCACATCTTTCTTCATTTCCTCTGATTTTTAAAATTTTGCTCTTCTCCAATCTGCATTTTCTTAAGGCGTTATCTTTTATATTTATTCACTCTTGTGCTGCTTCTAGTGTAGTCTTTATTTCTGATATATTTTAATCTTTTATGTCTAAATTCTTTCCTGAGTTCTACCATATCTCTTTGCAAATCATTTTATTTTCCAAACAGCTCATGTCTGAGCTTTTCAAATTGTGGTTTATGTTGACCTTCATAATTTCTATCATTTTCTTAGTTTCATTTAGCTCATTTTGAAATATTAGGCTACAGTTTTCATCTGCTTTTTTGTGGGCATGTCTTTCTGGCATATACTCTTTGCCCATAGAGAAGTCAGTCATATCTTAATCTCCTCTTCTCATGAGACATTGTATGGGATTCAACTGTTTTTTCTTTTTGTTGGTCATTTTCAAGTGAAATGAGTGGGCCAGGGCCGTTCTAGCTTCATGGCTTTCATGCTCCCTCTTCTGGGGTGTTCACAAAGAGGTACAAAAACCGTCTTGCATTTCTGAGATCTGCCTACTCTGTATCCCTTCCCATCTTCATCTTCATTTTTATTTTGATCTTCTCTTTCTTTTTCACCTTTTTTCTTTTCCAACTCAACTTGGATTTTACTCCCAGCAGTTTTTTTTCCCAGAGCAGGGTTTTGTCTTAGAAGGGAACTTCAGTCTACAACTTTTCAGAGTTCATAGAGCCAAAACCACTTCACTGTTCAGTCCCTTTGCACTCATCAGCAAATTGGGGTCCACAGAATTTATAACCTCCCACCTGAGTTTCACATGCTGTCCTCAGATCACCCACTTCGCTTTCCAGTGAGTACACTGGGCAATTTTGTATGTTTCTTGATCTTTGGCCATTAAATGACCCCATTACTTTCCCTCTCAGATGCTGATATTAAACAGGTCTTAAAATTGTTGATACTTAGTCCCACTCATATTTGGAGTTTGTGAGGATCTCCTGTCACCTAATCATGGAATGCTAAGCTTTGCTCTCTAATCGCTTTGTCTTTTATGGTGGAATTCAGGGAAATTCAAAGTACATGTTTACTGAGTGCATGTGTACTAATGAACTTATTTTATAGGTGCTATTTCCATTTCAAAAAGTCTTAAAGAGTCCCCATTTAACCCATAAAATAATAAAGCTTGCATTGATATGTTCTGGGAAAGGATCTATACCCAGTAAAGACTATTAATCTGCTATTTCAGCTATCTAATTGAATTAGACCCATAGCACGGTGTGTGTGTGTCCCCCAAAACTTATATGTTGAAGCCCTAACCCCCAATGTAATGATACTTGAAGGTGGAGCCTTTGAGAGGAAATTAGGTTTAGATGAGGTCATGAGAGTAGGGTCCTCATGGTGGGATTAGTGCCCTGAGAAGAGACACCAAAGAGCTTGCTGTTGCTTGCACTCAATCTCTTTCTCTCTGCCATGGGAAGATACAGTGAGAAGGCAGCCATAGGCAAACCAGGAAGAGAGCCCTCACTAGGAGCCTGATTGGCTGGTATCTTGACCTTAAACTTCCCAGTCTCTATAACTATGAGAAATAAGTTTCTGTTGTTTAAGCCACCCAGTCTATGGTATTTTGTTATAGCAACCTGAGCTGACTAAGTCACAGTGCAATGTCAATCAGTCATTAAATTAGTGATAAAAATGATTACCAAAAACAAACAAACAAAAAATACAGTTGACTGATGACACCCTAGATATCTAACAGGAATTGAGAATAAAACATTACTACTCCCATTGTGATTGATAAACTGATTATTTTTACATCACTAGACAAGTGAATGTGACAAGGGGGAAATGCCATTAAAAATAATATTTAATAACAAAGATACCTATAGGACAAACTGTCACTTTACTCACTTTGTCACAGAAGACCTTGATCTGGCAATAAGCTCTATGAATGGGTTTATTGCTGCGATTATTATAACTGTATGTATCAATCTGAATCATCAAAGGAAGTCCTTTCACCCCTTTTTGGGAGGAGAAATCTGTACTCAGGCAATTCACGGTGATGAAAATCTGAGGAAGGGAGAAAAAAAGGAGAAAGTTCACAAGTCACCATAAAAAGGATCTATAAACAAACACATAAACCTTAGGCTTGAAGTCACAATACTAAACAAACCTATGAGGACAACTGAAGAATATTTCAGTTCTCTCACATAAAAACGTGTTGAACACATAAAACATGATATGTATCATTTGTAATTATTAATTCATTTAAAAAAATTATTTTCATATTTGATCTTGCATTTTAATTGCTTTCCTGAAAGTATATCAGCAAACTCTTATTCATTTTTTAAACATGCATAAATGAATAGTGAAAACACTGTCTCCTCCAAATTAAAGTTGTCATCTCTAATAATTATATCAGTTTATCTGATCTCTGACCTGCAGAAATAAGAAAAAATTAGATAATTTTTTTGGCATATTATTGCATTGAAAACTAGATATTGTTACATATCTGTCTTACTTAACTATGAAGTATGAGACCATTTCTCATTATTTTTGTATTACTGGTACCAAGTATAGTGCCTGGTAGAGAAAAGGCATTCAATAAACATTGTACAAATGAATCAATGAGTTTAGCTGCAGAAAGCCCACTAGATTAGGAGACAAAAGCCTCAAGTTTTAGTCCCAGCTCTAACATTATCATGCTAAGAGAACTTACTGCAAATCACTTAATACCTTCAGTTTTCAATTTTCCCTTTAACTCATCTTTAAAATCCCTCCTTGCAGCACAGAATGTAGATATGAATATACTTCTGTGTTAGTGAAAAGGTAAAAGAGGAGCTGGCAAAGGTAAGATACAGGAAGGAGAAAGCATAGCAAATGCATCAATATCCTCACAATACGGAGCATCAAGAGATATGACAAAAGTGACAGGAATCCAAAAAAATGGAAACTCAAGTAAATTATTAAAGATTACAGCATTGCCCAACAGAAGAACTAAGTATAATAATTTTATTATAAAATATGAGTACAGAGATTCCAAGATGGTGACGGGTCTGGAGCGGCCGTGCCAGGAGACAGCGCGATCCTAGGAATCCAAAAAAATGGAAACTCAAGTAAATTATTAAAGATTACAGCATTGCCCAACAGAAGAACTAAGTATAATAATTTTATTATAAAATATGGGTACAGAGATTCCAAGATGGTGACGGGTCTGGAGCGGCCGTGCCAGGAGACAGCGCGATCC